ATGTTTTCCAGCTTTCATTTTCATTTCCACATCAAAATAGACTGTTGAGCCTCATGTTGATTATGGACTAAGGAAACTGGCACTTTCACTGCTGAAATCTGCAGCTACTGTCATCGACAGGCCAAATACCAGCGGATAAAAAATCTTGTAGTTGGATGAGGCAAATATAATCCTATTCAACCATAATAACAGAAAGAGTACCAAATCTAAAGCATAGAGATGGCTGTATCATGCTAATGGGTAGTACCTAAACATTTTTGGTTTCACTTCAAAATAACATTATCAATTGGAAGAAAAGAAGGTTAATCACCTTTTCATTGTTGAGTTAAAAAAAAAAAATGAACCCAAATAAGAACCTCTATTATCGTAGCTAACATGAAACTTTCCAAATGACCAACACCTAAGCCCAAAAACTAATTTTAAATGAAACACATGTGCAAGGAGAGCAAGCAAATTTCATGAACTCAATTATATCTGATAAGAATAGGGGTCACAATTCTAGCCAGTCTCCAAATGTTACCTAGGATACGTGGACAATGAGATTCCTTATATTAGAGCATTATGAAAAACCTTATTTATTTCAGAAACCAAACACAATAAATTGATAGATTACTTTCAAACTTTATGTTTTTGGATCTATATTTCTGTTAATTATAATCATTTTCAGCTTGCAGCTAATAAAACACAACATTTAAGATATATAAATATTGATATTACATAAAATCTAAACAGAAACAACTTTTTCTATCCCATAACTTTTGTCTTAGTAACATAGTTTAATACCTGCTTAGGGTTTTGTGTTTGTTTTTTAATCCAAGCCTCATCAGAACGCATCATTTTGTAGATCATGGCTGCATATGTATCTTATTACAGAATACCAAACATATTAACAATAAATTCAATCTGGCAATTTCTGTGTCAAAAATAAATATTTTGTTGTTTAGTTAATAATTTTAACATTTTATCAAATATCTTTAAACTCATTAAAGACATGATAGTCATACTCATCATTTGGATCATAGATAAACAAAGCTTACAAACTGTCACGCCTTAATATCTACTGTTGTCTTTCTGTATAGGTTCTATCCTCTAATTACTGAAGCCCAGTCTCCCTTTTTGTCTGTTTTGTCTCTTTTTGCAGTTTTTTAAATAATGTATGAAATAATTATATGACCATTGGCATGTATTTAGGTCTTATTCATCTTTAATTGTCCTTTATTTTTACAAAACTGAGATAATCAATTATTCTTTTTTTCACTTTATGTCACCCTGCCCCCTAGAGGCCTATCTTGGAACTGAAGAATAATCTGTAAAATTTAGTGCTGACCTTTCTATAATATTTTATCATAATATAATAGTTTAACTCATTTGTTGTACAATTTGTTGTAGATGAAGAGAAAAGAAAATCACATTTCAAATTAAGTATGTGAATCAAATTCTAAGTATAATGCAACTATTATTTTCTTTTTATAGACTGAGATGGGAAAAAAACACTGAATGTCACAATTATTTATAAAAGAAAAAAAAGCTGCAGTGGTTTGAGTTGTTTGTTTTGCTGTCTGCATTACTCTGGCAGTTAAAAGATTAAAAACATGAAAGGAGGATGGGACATGTGGTACAGTATGGATTATGAGTAAACACTTGACATAGGCCAATGGAGAGCTTGGCATTTGGAATCTTCTGTGAATTATAACAGATCTTCTTACATGAAAACATAGATGTTTAGGTAAGCGGGATGCTTAAAAAGCATTAGCACTCTTTGAACTTTTTAAATTTTATCAACTTTAGTGTATTTCATTGTGATTTTGTTTGCCAGACCTAAAGGAGAACATCATTGGGGAGGAGGGATTTTTTTCACAAGGTTAGACAAATGGCAAATTTGTTGTGTGAAACAAAAACCTTTGTCTTTGTTTTACTTAACTGCCTTCAACAACCAAATGTATAGATTAGAAAAGGAAGTACACTAATCACTTTGTGATTATGAATTTTAAAAAAATCACCTTTTTGGTCAAATAGCCCATCATTAATAGCTAGAGTTTTAGAGAGATATGCAGCATTCCAGAGGTTGAGTGGTTTCAAAAATGAATATATAAATATGTATTTTAAAAAAAGGCTTTGGTATAGGCTCCCTTATGGAGTAACCAAACATGTGATCTAATTTTTTATTTAAAAAATATTTAATCAAACTAACATAAAATCTTGGCAAATTCTAGTATTGTAAAAACCAAAATCGAAACTATATAAAAATAACATTCATGCAGGATAAACCATTTTCTGAATGTTTTTCCATGAGAGCATGAGACCAATAGTTACGAAAAATCTTGGTTAAAGCAAGATTTCTCAATTTAACATAAATAAAGCTGAAAAGAAATTTCATCCAGAACCAAAGCTCCAGCCAATCAACATCAGGGCCGCACCCTCCCCAAAGCAATCATTGTTCAAGATCTCCTTGTGTTCCTCATCCAGCCCCAAATAACCTATTTCCTTCGTGTCAATAAAATGTTTCTGATTCTCGTGAGTCTCTCCTGGTAGAAAAGTGTGTGTATTCGGTGCATTTTTGGTTAAAACAAATCAGTTTAAATTAAAAAAAAAGGCTGAGTTTCATGTATCATCATCGTAGTGGATGTATTTCCTCTTTAAAACTTTTAATTAGATTACAATATGGGAAATTAATAAATGATTTAATATACATGAGCATTGACCCTCTAGGCATATACCATGTATGCTCAATGGCCAGCCCAGCCTTGTGTGGTACACCTGAAGCATATTTTCAGCCAGTTTTAATATGCCTCAATACTCCTGTAATACAAATTATGGAGCACTACTGCATATCATACAATATGCTGATGACACTTAACTTTTCACCATGAAATTAATACAGGTGATGCTAAGCTGGTGAAATTCGCACCACGTAAAATCCCTCTCTACCCCCAACAGGAGGTTTCAGAACTTCTCAAACAGAAGATTCATAACATGACAGTGCCCCTTTGAGTTTAATATACTGAGTTTTGGACTGTGTAATAGCACAAGTACTATTCAGAGGCTGATTGAGTTGGTGTTGGCAGATGTGAGGTGGATTAAAAGCTTGGTGTGCCTAGATGACGTAACTGTGATTGGTCCCCCCTGTAAGGACCTCCTGTCTAGGTAGGAGGAATTTCTGATCAAACTGCATCAAGCTAATTTCAAGCTTAAGCCAGCTAAATGCAACCTGTTGTCACCACAGATTAAGTATTTGGGGTACATAATCTGACCTGAGAGTGTAGGGGTGGATCCTACACCATAGAATCAAACTGAGGTTCGGAGCATTGTGGGGCTCGCTTCTTAACATAGAAAGTTTATGAGAGGTTTTGCAGAAAATTTCTCTGCCTTAGCACCAACTTACAGAGAAGGGAATGGAATTTTAGCGGACGGAGCAGGATCAGTCAGCCTTTGAGAGACTTAAATTGGGCCAAATGATAGCCTCAATTCTGGCATTTGCATATCCTCACAAAGCGAGGATCTTGGATGCTAGTGATGGCGGTACCGGGGCAGTATTATCAAAGGAAAAAGCTGTATAGGAACAGGTTATTGCCTCCACAAGCAGGGCCCCGACAAAGCAGAATAGAATAGAATTCAACTTCAAGTACAGACCAACAAAGAACTCTGTGCATTCAACCCATCCCCTTGGGGAGCAGTGGGCTGCCATTGTGCTGTTACTGGGGAGCAGAGTGGGGTTGAGGGTCTTACTCAGGGACCCAGAGTAGTAGTCTGTGGGAGTGTGTGGGGCTTGAACTCAAAACTTCTTGGACCCAAGAGCAATACTCTAACCACAGGGCAACCAATATGCAATCACCAAAAAGCAATTATTGAGTATGGTGAGCCTTACCAAACATTTCAAGCATTTATTCCTGGGTAAAGAGTTTGTTCTGAGGACAGATCATAGTTCTCTGAGGTAGTTACATAAATGGGGTTGGGTGGGCAGTTGGCCTGCTGGTTGGAACAGCTAGTCAGTTCCCAGTACAAGATCCTGCACTTACCAGTCTGGGTTCATTCTAATGTAGATATGTTTTCTCGACTTTCTGTGTTTCTGCAGTCATCCCTTCCTGTGGCAGCGACTGGGGTATCAGAGCCACCGGCAACTTCAGTTATAGGTGTGGTTGTTGATGGCATATGGGAAAATGTGTTCATTTTCCTGTTGTAGATTGACCCTGAGGTTCTGGCGCCTATCCACTTTCGGCCACCTCCCAGCATACATTGGTTATTGCCTGGCAACCCTTACTAAAATGCTCTGGCTACACCTCTGGCCATGCATGGATGGATGGAATTGAAGCTGTGTCCATAATAGGGATGCATGATATATTGATGTTGGCATCGGATATCAGCTGTTATTCGTCATTTTTTATACATTAATGTTTTTGAGCCCTTAATAAATAATGCACTAAAGGCAGGCATTTGTCTATAACCTAAATATCAGTGCATTGTGGTTCTCTTGTGTTCTCAAAAATAGGAAAGCACTTAATAAATATATGTTTGAGCTCATTTTTGGAAAATATAAACCCTATTGAAATCCTATTCGTGTTGAGTAGCTGTAGGTCCATCCTCTTTAGAGCGTCCCCTCCAACTTTTAGCACAAAATTACACCCTTATTTGGGTCCAGTAAATCCTCAGGGTCAACTTATCAAGGTACAATCAATTTCAATTTAGGATAGACTGTTATTTTTGTTGTTGGTTTTGTTAAACGTGACAAAAGGTTACAAGGTGTATCGTTTTTTTATGCTTTTATGTAACGGCCATTACCTCCAAGACATGCTGTTCAGGTGAATAGCACATCTGAATTTATCTGTTACATTAAATTAAAACTGTGCTCCATTTTAGCAAACAGCCCTTCGCTTTGAGGTCACACAGTTGAGTGCAGGGTTCATCACGCCCCGCAATCACTCCGCTCGCTCCTATTAGACCGTTTTCTAACCGACGTCTCTCTCGTCCAATGAGAAGGCGAGGAGGGAGGGCCCTCAAAGCGCTACGCAGCTGTTAGCAGAGCTCAGCGCAGCAGGATCCAGTCACTAAAGGAAGAGCACTCGATAAGGAGTTCTTTATTACAAAGTGTGTCAAAAATCAAGGTGAGTTTCATTTTAAGTTTTTATTACTGTCATTTTAACAGCAGAAACAATGTTTAATCGTGTTGTTATTTGACTTCCTGGTAGGAGTTGGGTTGTGTCTTTATGCACTCATTCGTCGAACACCTTTTTGAGCCAATTCTTTTTAGCTAGCTATCCTTTTTATTCATAGCTACACGTCTGCAGTTTGTTCGACTTATGTGTCTGTTTTGTGCGTGCAACAATATTTTATGAACGCATAAAATTTGGGGGGTATTTCAACCCCCAAATCTGCCTTTCTGGATGAATAAAGTTGACTTAACTGGTTTTGACGAAAAATTTTTTATTTTTGTTCGCCTTATCTGTCACTCTAACATTTGTTTGATTTTTTGTTACCCTCAAAAATCTAACTTTTAACAAAACAACTAACTCAATCTGCCGTTTTAACTTGAAAGGAGTTTGATAGGTTTATTTCCTGATTCTTCTCTCCTGCCATGTCCCTCTACTGTCATGACACGTTTATAAAGCAGGAGTTATGCAGAAATCTGATCCAGGCTAGTGGACAGCCAAGGAGACTGGCAAGAAATGACATGACCTGGCAGTTTAGAGGTCATTCATTTAATAATTTGTCCTTGTGTCAAAGCTGCACTTTTGTCCCCTCTGGCTACCCTTACCTTGCCCTGTTAATCTGCAATCATTCAGCACTTTACACTTAAATGCTTCTTTGAAAATAATGCCCACTCTCCTATTTTTTTTGGCCTGCATACCAAGTATTATTGCTGTCAGACACTGTAAGGTTGTAAGGTAGATTATGCCCTATGTTGGCTAATAACACCAGGAAGACTTTGCCCCTGTGTTCTTCTAACTGCAGGTAAAACTACTTATATCAAAACTGAAAACTAAACATTTCATATATATATATATATATATATATATATATATATATATATATATATATATATATATATATATATATATATATATATATATATATATATATATACATTTGTAGATAATAAAACAAAAGTATTTACTTATATAATAGAGTGAATAATGAATGCATAGATGACAAGAATAACAAAAAATTAGTAATTAATGCACCAATATGGCTTTTCCCCAGCTGTTACTTATGTTCTGATGTTTAATGTATTACTTACCCTTTCTTTTTATGCAACTATTGAATAGAAAAAAATAAAAAGAGTAATGATTGGAGGATAGGAGGTGTGTAATTCTGATGTCTAGGGGATTTATGGGTGCATATTTCTGAATGCAACCAGATAAAACATTTAGACAAAAACAGTTATTTCAGTTGTACAATCTTAAAAGCAATGCAAGGTGAGACTAGGTTGAGGCAGAAAGCTGGATATCAGTTAGTTGTTATCAATCTAATGACAGCAGCTCAAAAACTTCATGTAAGGCTGCTTTTTGTAAAAAAAAAGAAAAAAAAAGAAAAAGATCCTTTTCAGCTACCCTCACTATCTGCTTCAGAGGACTGTTATCTGTAGGTTGTAGATGCAAAGACACTGCTAACACAGCTTAATTCAAAATGTCAGCTCTATACCAGACATTTCATCAGATTGCGTAGTTATGCTGTTTTACATACAAACAAACAAAGGGGCTCAAAGTGTACCCAATACAAAGCTTGCTGTCAAACTCTTGTCTCTGACCTTCTGGGTGTGTCTGGGAAGGAGAGTGGAAACTTTCAGCTGGGATAGCACGCCGTGGACATAAGAAGACTTTTAATAAGTTACCAGCTGAGGCTTTGACTTCTTGTTCTTCTCCTTCTAGATCGCTGTAACCTTGAACAATGAGGCTGTTTGTTTTTTTGTTTTCTATCTGAAGCTTAAAACTGTTTAAAGGCCAAGGAGCCTGCGCTGTTTATGCTTTTCTTTTCAGTCGGGGAAAAAAAAAGCTGTGTGATCTTCTCTTTCACTTTCAGTTTCCTTGAATGGAAAAAAGTCGCTTCTCCATCTTTGCTTTTAATCGATGTTCCTGATAAAAGGTTGCTTATGTGAAGTCATTTAATGAATGTAAATCAAGGCTAAACATTGACGTTCAATTTTAACCTCTTTTTCTCTCTCTTTATTTACCTTCCCAGATGCCCTTTGCCAGTGACAAACTTTATGACGTTTATTTGCGGCGGAATATGCCGACCATTGTGAGCAGGGTGAAAGTCAGGGAAATAATGCCCCACCTTTCCTGCCTGACGTCTCATGACAGGGTAAGTTTAATGATGGGTAATCATTCATGGCCGGAGGTGGAATTTTCTTCTTTGTTGTAATTTAATCTACTATAAATTATTATTATTGATTTTTTTTTTTTTATCATTGTCGGTATGTTCTAAAAAACACACACAAAATGTTTAGTAGAGTATTCACACCCCTTAACCCTATCTTTCAAACATCAGTGTATTTTACCTGCACAGACGAATGTGAAGTACATGTTAGTATAGAGGGAGAATATGTTTAAATATCCTACTCAATATAGATCTGGAAAGTGTGGCAGGCTTATAATTTTGATGTCAGGACGTCTGGTTATATGCAAAGTTTAAGGGAGGTAGCATTAGCGTCCTGAGATCCTGCAGCACTATCAGAGTGTCTGGAGCAGCGAGTCCTGTAGCATATCAAGCACTGGGAGTAGGGCTGGACATTGAATTTGCCATATAATCTAGGCCTGAAACAATTAACCGGATTAATCATGATTGATCGATTATTGAACTGATCGTCAACTAATTTAGTAATCAATTAATCGTTAACTGGAGTATAGAGACTGTAAAACATTCCTTTAGCTGACAGAGCGATCCAGTTAGAGCAGCAATTATACCAAGATTGTAAAAAGAAAAGTAAACATTTTGCATTTAAGATTAAAAAAAATTTTTTTTATCTGTGTGTCAATCGATCAGAAAAGCTTGTCGAGGAGCTTTCTGGGAGACAGATTCCAACTCATCAAAGCAAATAAAGTTTAGCAACTTTAAGTTTAGCAACCTTCAAATTATCAAACTTGAATCCTTTTTTAACTTTAAAAAGCATTCAGTGTGAACACACCCTAACATGGCGCATTACCCTGAATATGTCAGCCCCACAGAGACACAAGGTGGTGGCAGCATCATGCTGTGAGGAAGTTTTTGCAACATTCACCCCCTCTCTGGCGTCAAGTTGAAATGACAACAGGGTTTTGCATGAACATTAGAGAGAGAGAAGGGGAAAACACCTTAACCTGCTGCTGCCACTGCACAGGTCTTTGTGTTAGAGGAGTAAGGTCATCTTTATGTAACATGGTAAGAAAGTTATAGATCTAAGCAGAGCCTCTCCAATATTCCATCCCAATTAGATTTTAAAGTAGACAAATGTTTTGTTTTTTTGCTTGAAATCTTTGATAGGGCAGGCGTTTGCAACATTGACTTCAATTCAGCTAATAAAACTCATTGCATGACCCTTTTTTTTTTTTTTTTTTACAAAAAGACAACTTGTGTTTTTTCACAGTAGATTTGTCATTTTTAGACAAGCACTGTTCCATTTCAACTTTTAGGTTTTAAAAATAAGGAAAAAAACTTGTAAAAAGAGAATAAACAGATTTCAATTGGTTGATTATAGTTTGAAAATTATGTTTAGAACCAAAAATTTCCCTTCTAAAAAGATGGAAAAATAGTCCACTTTTAAAAATCCTTTTTAAGCTTTCATGTAAATGCTTTGTTTTTATGCACCTATAGGAAAACATAGAGGCGAAGCGGGAAACGTCTGGGAACTACGACGGCATGGTGCTTCTTCTGGATTGTCTAAAGAGAAGAGAAAACTGGCCGGAGCAGTTCATCCAGGCTCTGGAGGCGTGTGAGCATACAACCCTAGCAGCTGAGATCAGAAAAGAATACGAATCTCTGCAAAGCATTCAACGTAAGACACCTAATAATCTATCCTTCACTGCTTTCTGGGGTTTAAAGCATCTTTCATAATTAATAAAGATAATTTAATCAAACAATTAATGTCTTTCACTACAAAAATAATTTCTCTAAAATAAGTGTATTTTCCCTTTTTTTGAGCAGGTAAGATAATTGCCAGTTTAATAAGATCATTTATATCTAAAATAAATTTAAAAAATCTGTTGCATTATTTCAAGTAATATCAAAAAAATTTATTTCAAGGGCAGAAATTATCAATCCCTTGGCCAATCATGTTATTTACCTGCTTAAATGAAGGGTCAGTTACATTTATTCAAAGAGATTTTTTCCTAATTTTTAGATCATTTTTTGCAGAGTATGTTTATGTCTTGGAATATGTACGTCCTGCAGGTCATATGGTCACATGACATTAACTTTTGGCTCCTGTGCAATAAGGAAAATTATCTCCTAGTTTGGGAAAGAATATGAACCCAAGCACATTCCTTTGTTGTTTTTCTGAGCTCTTTTCTTGTTTTCCATCCATCCATGCATCCATCCAAGTGTTGGTCTGACTGTCTCTCCATCTATTAATCAGATGTATTTTCTCTTTAATTCTTTTCTAACTCTGAGAACCTGAATCTGAAAATTGGTAGGACATATGTAGGAACCCTGTCAATCAAACTGGAAGCTAGAAATTCACCTCTAATGTCTTTTTTTTGTTGATAGATGTTTATCAAAATTTGTCATCTTCTGAGGGGGAAAAACATGGTTCTGTGATGTTAGTAATTGTGAGAAATAATGAAATTTCTGTGTGATTTCAGGGCTAGCTGCATTTCACAATCCTCTTGTCATATACAAAGACGAATATCACTGTTTGCTTTGTCCTAGATCCCAGTGCTGACTCAGCTCCAAAGACTGTTGTCAGGGCTCATGTCCACCCAGCACCAGCTGCCAGTAAACTCCCCATTTCAGAGAGCAGTGGAACTGGTCAGGCTGCTGCTGCTCAGCCAGCAGAAACACTCCCACCTCCTGTCCACACTCCTGCACAGCAGCAGGTCCCCCAGGTGGCAGCTGTCCAGGCTTCACAGACTGTTTCCCCGCCAGAGCCCCCGCAGTCAGTCCTGCAGGATGAAGTTCCACCTCTCCCCTCCACACCTCCTCCTTCCCCTGAGATTCAGCACCCTCAAGTATCTGATGTCTGGCCGCTACTGGGGAGAAACGCTCCTCACCAAGAGCCAGAGGAAAACTCTGAATCAGATATCCGGGATGCTTCCGGCGATGCTAGCTCAGTCCCACTGGAGACGAGTTTGGGAGAGGAAGAAGCCGTGGTCGGTGTTGTGACCTCCCCTCAGCAACCTTTAGTCCCACACAGTGAAACAGCGACATTACTGGCTCCAGATCCTCTGCAAACCGGCGTCACTACAAATGACAAGCAGCTGCAGCAGCCATCTTTAACACCAATAAACTCTGACGAATCGTCTCTTTTTACTCTGACACCAGAGAAACATCCTGTCCAGGACACCACTCCACCAGTCCACCAGGTTCCTACAGCTGCCCTGCACCCTGAGGAGAGCCCAGAGCAGGCAGCTGAGCAGGTGAGAAAAACAGCACTTCTACATTTCTAATAACTTCGGTGTATATATGCGAGAAGAAAACTGATGATGGAACAGGTGTCAAAGGAAAGTGTTGCTTTCAATAACCAGTTTGCCTAGTCAATCTTTGTTTAAACTGAACCACTCCTCTGCTTTAGGATTTGTTGCCAAAGCAGACTAACATAAAGCTTCCCTCTGCTCTACGGCTGAAAGCTGTGCTGTCAGAGGTTTAACGTTGGTAAACAGCAATTAGCTTTTTCACTGTTTTAATAAGAAATCCGATGGACTGACAATGGATTTGATTCAGTACCTGTAAACATCTAAATTTATTTTTTAAAACCTAAGCAGTGTTTAATTTGTTTACTCTGTTTTAGAACTAAAACCCCTTTTGTTTATTAGTAAAATTAAAAACAAAACCAAGCCTGAACCACTCAGAGAAAATCTGATTGGAGAAAAAAAAAAAGTCCAGTGCAGCTGGAACAACCAGCTGCACTTTAAACAGGTGCATCTTCAGCTTATTTAGTTCTTTATAGTGGAGGATGTTCTTTTTCCGGGTGGATCATCAAAATAAGTGATCCTCCTAATTGTCAATCATTGTGGTGATATGACTATGTAAGGCCGTCCTACGTCCCCATTTTCATTTACCTGTAGTGGAAAAATTGTACTGGCGATACAAACAGCAACTTTTAAACAGAGCGTGCACAAGGAGAAATGGGCATGCTCTCCCATGCGTTTACTGGACGTTTCCTTTCGAGAGCACGTATGGGGTTCTGCATGTGCAGTGTTTTTTAAAAGTAGAGAGGGCGTTCTTATCAAAAAAAACGCAAAAATCCTCGACTATACCTTCAAATAAATCCGGCTTGCATATCCAGTCTCCAGCAGGTCAACATAACTTGTTATAGCGTTCTTAAAGACAAGATGCTATAAGAGCAAAAAATGAAAAGAAAATAATTTTTATGCATTTGCTATTTCTCTATTTTTTTAAGTGTATTCAAGTATGTTATGGCAAAGAGGAAAAAAAGGGAAGTTTATTATTTTATGAAATTAATTTTAAAAAAAATGTTTCTTGAATTTTCAATAATGAATGATGACAAGAATCCCCAAGTCTCAGGTTAAGAATACAGTTATTAAGAAATCAAAGAAAACATTACAATGGATAGGCATGTCTGCTTAATGCATTAATGAATCCATCACTGCATGCCGATTGAAGAAAAATACGCTGTTGGTCTACCTCTGAAATAAAAACTATACTTCTGAGAAGAAAGCGTTTAACATCTAAGCATTTGTCTGCAGCTCTTTCTAACGTTCTAACATTTTATTTTAAGTTTGAGTGTTAGTATCAGTGTTTGTTCCTCTAAACAATTTTCACAAACTGTACATGAAGATAGAAATTGAAATAAAAATGACATCTGTTATGCCCTTTTTTTCTTGCAGAGCGTTAAAAGCAAACTGCAGGCGGATGCTGCAGTTGGTACCTCTCCCGAGCCGCGTGTGGAAAGGAGGAACAGAGTTAATGAAGATGATGTCGAGAACACAATGTGCCTGAGCAAACCCACCCAACTCCTCAGCGTCTACCCAGAAAATACCCCCTCTCCTTCTGCTGAGGCATCCAACGCCCTAGAGCAGCCTTACTCCGGCAACAGCGGGCGTCTAGAAATAAGCGAGGCTGCATCGGACGCTGCCTCCACTGCTGTCGGTGCTAACCTTGGGAATGCAGTGTCAGTGCAGGAGAACGGGATCGCTCCCGACCTCAGCCAACCAGAGGAGAATCACTACGAGTCTCCCAATCAGAGCTTTGAGGTGAGGGAGAACGTGGTCCATCTGACAGAGATGCCTTCAATCCCTAACCTCGACGCTCCAGTTCAGCAACCTCAAATCGTCAACGGAGAACCGGCTAAAGCAGGCTTTTCTTCAACGCCGACGTCCGCCAAGGCTGCAGATGATTCTGAGGCAAGTTTAAGGAGCCATCACAGTGAGAGCTACACGCCAGCGGGTGCTGGTGCTTCTGACAGCGTTTCAGAGCAAAAATCAGTACCAAATCCCACTCCTGACCATGCAAATAGAAATTACTTGATTGGGGCTGCTGCAGGGGTTGCAGCCTTGGCTTTCTTTTTGATGAAGCTTAAGAATTGAGGGGTTGAATATTGTCAAAGACAGAGAATAAACTGTAAGAATACAGTCTGATACTCATCAGGGCTCAGTCCCTTCCTGTAATCCCTGCACTAAGGGAGCAGGGGGGGAGCAGTTTAATAATTACCAAATGATAGCTGACATGCCAGACCTTTGATCATGTCATTAATTTATATTGTGGTGTTTGTTGGTGAAAGACTTTGACTTTAGGTTAAAAAAGAGGAAATCCAAACTATCGACCGATGCATCTTGGGTTATTTCTGAATGTGCTCCATAAATGTTCACTTACCGTATTTTAACGACCATAAGGCGCACCGTAATAAAAGGCCCAGTCTCAGTTATGTGTCCCATTTCTGTATTTAACACACACATAAGGCGCACCGGACTATAGGGCGCGTTTTTTCTATACAGGTACATGTCCTTTACTACCTTTAAATACCTCTACTGCGTATTTAAAAATACAGCGGGCCCAAAACTGAGTATGATTGTGCTTTATTCATGTATTTATTACAAAGTATTAATCAAACCTGGGAGCTGGCCGTGAGACAGACACATCACAGATGACAGAGCGCTGTGATTACTCCTAAATTAACTTAAAATCCTGAAACCTGCCGACGGAATATGTTCGCTTTTATTGCCGGTATCCTGGTGCCTGCAGTTTAAATTATTTAGATGAAAAACACCTGCCAGCCACCGCGGTGAACCCGCAGGCTACCCGGCCTAGAGGCTGCTGCTGAAGGGATTTCTACTGTCGGTGCACCGCTGGTATGTCGGGGTCTGAGCGCCTCCGACAGAAATAGTAGCCTATAAGCAGGATGATAATCTGGATGAACTGACTGCAATGATTAAGTTTTCAGGTGGACTTTCTCACTTAAAAACATATTAAAACTACTTTATTCCCACTGATCACAGCAAATATAGCTGCAAGATTTAGATAATTTAGATGAAAAACACCTGCCAGCCACCGCGGTGAACCCTGCCCAGATGCTGCTGTTGAATTAAGTTTTCAGGTAGAAAAATAGAGCGGGAGCAAAACTGAGTATGTTTGTGCTTTATTCATGTATTTATTACAAAGTATTAATCAAACCCATCAAAGTCACCATCCTCTGTTTCTGAATTAAACAGCTGCGCTAAATCAGACATGCCAATTTCCCCTTCTTCGCTGTCAGAGTCACTTTCCGTGCCGGGCTCCTCAGAAATGATGCCGGCTTTTGCAAAAGCTTGAACAACAGAGCCAGCAGACACGTTAGCCCAAGCATCTGCAATCCATCCGCTAACGTGGCTTAACTTGCCCGGCGCTGCCTTCCACTTATCGTAAAACTGTGGTCTCCGTCTGTCATCCATCACTCCCACGCCGCTCGCAGCCTTACTTTGAACGGCCGGTTCACACCGATGTCGAGCGGTGGAAGTTCCTTTGTCAGACCCCCGGGATAACGGCGAGCACAGCTTTTATTTTTTTTCACCATGTTTTTCACATCAGCTGTGAGATGGGCACGCATGGAGTCACATATTAAAAGCGATGGTAATGCGTGGAAAAAACCACCTGTTCTCCTCACATACATCTGCCTCAGCCACGCTTTCATCATCAGAGCAACATCAGAGCGATGTGTCTGTCTTGCTGTCAGCTCCCAGATCAGCTTCTCTGATTGGTTGATGCAGCGCGTCCAGCAGCAAAACTTCAATTTTTCCATCTCGAGCAGCAGCAGCGCGTTGCCGGCGCGCTCCCGACGCGCTGCTTCTGCTGCACCTGCTGCGTCCGGTTCACAGCGAGCACAGCATTAATTTGTTTCACCATGTTTTTCACATCAGCTGTGAGATGGGCACGCATGGAGTCAGATTAACAGCGATGGTGTGGTGATGAGTGGAAAAAAAACCACCTGGTCTCCTTACATTCACCTCCCTCAGCCACTCTTTCATCATCTCCTCAATGAGGTGGTCTCAAAAGTCGCAGTTGCAACACACATAGGGCGCACCGCACCAAAGGGCGCACCGCACATTTTGAGGGGAAAAAAAGACGTTTATGTGCGCCTTATAGTCGTGAAAACACGGTATTTTGAATTGGTCACATTTTGAAACCTTATGACCAAAGACTTTTCTCTGATATACAAAAAAACCTGCATAACTGTATGTAGTTTCCTAATGAGACTCTTCACAGAGAAGCTGGATGTGAGATCCAAAGCATTGTTCTCCCCTGGAAGGTTGTTCTGCAGCCCTGCAAGGACCTGTCTTGACATTTTGTTGCACCAGCTTAAATTTTTATTTTTCAATCATGTTTTATTTGCCTCCCCCCCAAAAATACATGAGTGTTCTTTTCTTTTATTTTTGTTTTCTTCTAACTTAAGAAGTAGAATTAAGGAAGTTAGGTGTGGATTCTTTTTGCAAGCCACTGCCTGTTTTATTTTAATATTTGATAAACAGAATAAGGCCAGAGGAAGCGAGGTGGAGAGCTTAGTTTATAAAAGACTAGAGGTTTCTTTGAATTCACATTTAAATTCTTTTTTCTGTCGTTTTTTTTTTAAAGCTGGGTTGCAAATGTGCCTGCCGGACTCAATATTTATTTGTATATATTATAATTGTATACGCTAATTAGGTACTTTCCTACTTTTGGAAAACAAATGTGGTTTAAAAAAAAGGATTTGTAAAAAGCCTTTAAGTGATAAAGAATCTAGTAATCAGATTTTGCACCGAATGCTGCCTGAATATTTTTAACCAAGTGAATTAAGTAGAAAGTAAAACCTAGGATAGATGAATTGTAACTGCAACATACTGATATTTCCATTATTTTTGTAATCTTAAACGTTTTTCCATGTATTATAAAATGTTGTTACTGTATTTTTAAAAAGGTGCCTCCTTTGAAATGGGTAAATGAGGATCCTGTCTAACTTGGAGTATTTTTAGGCCACTGTGACAATCACTGGTTTGGTAACTTGTACCTTATGCCACCTGGTGCACATATCTGGTACTACAGGAGCTATAGATCACCCTCTTGTGTCTTGATGTACTGTGAAAGGGGAAATATGTAAATATGCTGGAGGTTTCTTCCTGATAAAAGGGAGTTTTTCCTCTCCACTGTTGCTACAAGCATGCTAAGTGTGAGGGATTGCATTCGAGTCGATGCAATCAACTGGTTTTCCTTAGATAGAAAATCTGGTGAACTTTAAAGTGCCTTGGGATGACGTGTTGTGAATTGGCGCTATATAAATAAACTGAATTGAATTAAATGTAAATAGCTTTTTGAGGAACAAAGCACACTTATAAAATAGTTAATTAAATGTTGCACATAGCTGGACATAAAATGTAATGTCTTAATGAACCTTATGTAGGTTTTGATCTTGTTTTAATTTCTGTCTGAAATTGCACTGTCTGTATCGATGCACTGTAACAGTCAAACATTAATAAAATACATTCATAAGATTGAAACAGTTTTTCTCTGTACATATTTTATGTGAGAAGAATCATAACTCAGTCTTTATCTGGTACTTGGGATGTGTTTTTCTAAAGATTGATGGTATGTAGAATTCAAATTGAACTACACGTATTGATCTGGAAAGCCTCCTGTAGAAGGTGTTCGCAAAAGGGAGAGACATTCAGTCAAATTCATCGAGCTGATTGGGTATTTATCGAGTTTTTTAGCCAATCAAAGCAGCAATAGCAGCTTGATTTATTGATTTTTTTTCACAACTTGCAGAGTTAACTGATAAATCAAGATCCTACCATATCCATTCAGGGGGAACGTACAACCATCTTCCCATCCACAAAGGCAAAAATGGTGTCCTTTTGCCAGTTTTTCAAAAGAAATAAAGGGTATAACAGCTAAAACCAGCGTGGTCATGTTTGTTTTGCTTTTGGTAGAGGCATTTCCATCATAGACATTACTGCATTTCAGTGGTCCAAAACATTTCTGTATCCAGGCTAGGCATCTGCTGGCTCCTGCCAGATGTAGGTTTGACATTTTGAATTTTCAAATCTCGCAACAATTCATCTTGCTTGCAAGGTAAGTGTTTTTCACTGTATTTTAGAAAAGTGAGAAGAGATCTTTGAAGAGATATATTTACTCTGCCTGATTTGTCATTTATTTTTTTTATTTTTATTTTTTTTTATTTATTTTATTTATTTCGAACAGACAGTAAAAACAATCAAGAAAGAAAAAAAAAAATTTGAATGAAACAAACTTAAGAATGAAAGTATAAAACAAATTATTTTGCCCATGTGCATGTAAATTTTATATTTTCTGTTCGAAAAGGAGCAGGTAGAAGATACATCTTATAATGTCCTGCCCCTTTCCTACTTGTCAATTTATCCTCAATTAAATCTCAAAACATCAAAAAACCAAAAAAAAAACACTTGTTTCCATTCCACATGATGTTTAGCCATGTACAATTATTTTAAGTTCTATTTATGTCATCAATTACATTATAGACTATTAAACAGTCATACAGTGTATTTTGAAATGAGCTCGGTTTTAATCAGTTTATTAAATTGGTTTGCATTTTGAATTTTTTTAAACTCGTCATTCAATCCATTCCAGATATTTACTCCACACACAGATAAACAAAAACTCTTTCTGGTTGTTTTAAAGTGTTGTTTTTTAAAGTATCCTTCACCTCTTAGATCATAACCCCCTTCTCTGTCACCAAACATTTGATCTGATCTGAAATATATTTTTAATAGGATTTGGTATGATAGACCAATAAAACCATCACGGAATCGTAAAGTAGCTGAAAAGGATAAGACATTCAATTATTCTTCCTACAGTAGCAGGAGCTGAGCTGCTCAGTAATGACCTCTAGTGGATTTGTGGTGGTACTGGAGGAGGGTCTTTTTGGAACCTTTTATTAAGCATTTTCTTTTGTTTCATAGTTTTGTCTTTGGATAAACATTGACCTAAATTTACATATATTCTGCAACATGCAGCAAATTGGAAAATTAAGGCATAATACTCGTTGCAGTCAGAAAGCATGACTACAATGCTTTATAAAGGCACAATATAAAATATTTTGAGATATACATCTTGAGCATTTTTTGTATCGTAAATCGAATAAAAAATGCTTAATATAAAATATTCAAAGGCTTTTTACAGTAGTCATAATAATGAAATAAGAAACCTGATTTTGTTTTCATGTAATTAGACTGAAACCAATGTGCTTTTGAAACATTATTTTTTCCAAAAAGTGCCCTCTATCTAAATTCTAATGTTTTTAAGTTCCAAACATTTA